CTCACTGTCCAGCTCACCCTGTGTGTCAGTCTTTCACCCTCATGTCTGTTTCTTGGCCTGGAAGCTCCTGAGAGGAGGGGAGATATGCCTCCTCTCAATTCCCTCCCTTTGCCCCTGGTCCTTTTCCTGTCCCACCCAGGCAGGCCACAAGGACAGATGCTTAGAGAAAGCCCATTTGGGTCCAGATAATGACACAGCTGTCCCTGCCCTGTGTATGGGGCTCCTGTCCAGGAGGCTGAGGGATGGGGACACCTGAGGCTGTTCTGGGGCTGAGAGAGCAGCCTCCCAGCCTCAGTCACTGTCTTTAGGCCTGGCTTCTCCAACTGGGACACTGCTCATCATTTATGCATAAATTAGCATTTTTAAAAGCCAGTAGTGCAGGCCTTTTTTGCCTCCCCAAGTTTCCTGTCTCTCTCCATATTTCCAACCCCCAGCAGACTGAACCTAGCCACAGTCCTGTGCTGACCCCAAATCTGGCCTCACAGAGGCCCTGACACTGGCCATATATTGATCCTTAATTCTGACCTCAGACTAGCCCCAACTCCTAACCCTGACTCTGTCTCCTAAACTTCCCTTTCACTGAGGGGCTGCCTTCTTTGATCACTGCCAATACCACTTGGGTGCAAGGTTTATGGCTCACTTTTTAAATTACTTATTTTCATAGTTCGCTTTTTTTTTTTAAGATTTTATTGGGGAATTGGGGGAGGAGAACAGCGCTGGGGAATTGGGGGAAGGGGAAGAGACAAGTTGCTGTCCTTTTCTTCTTCAGTCTAGTTGTGGAAGACGTTGCTTCACTGGACCATGTTGGTGTTATCATTGCGCTCTTCCTGGGTGAGGCAGATAGGTCACCGGCCTCTGGACGGCTGTTCATGGCAGCTCTTGGCAGCTCACACCAGCTGCCGGCCACTCACATTGACTGCCAGCCACACACAGTAGCTTACGGCAGCCCACTGCAGCAGGGGCTACAGCCTACACCATCACCGGCCACCCACGGCAGCCCAGATCCAGGTCGAGGTGTTGTTCACCATCTTAACTGTAGAGGGCAGTGTCACTGGCCCTCATGTGGGATCCGAAACGGGGCCCTGCTGCTCAGAGCTGGCGTCCCAAGCCAGCTCTTAACCAACGCGCCACTCGGCTGGCCCCATAGTTCACTTATTAATGCTCTAGTGTAAAGTGGGGACACACCTAGATCCACTGAATTGGCATGTGGGTGAAAGAGTAGAAATGGGACAGTGATTATTTGGAAAAGCTCCCCAGGTGATTTTGACAAAGGTCAGCCCCACCCACTTCCACAATTCCCACATGTGGGCTTTTCTTTAGGGATCCCAAGGGGGTGCTTGAACCCCTACATAGAGACTTTTGGTCTGGGGACCCATACAACTGGGGCTGGTCTGCAGAGGCCTGACTCCCAGGCACCAGTAATCACACCCAAGCCCTTCAAAGGCTCACTGTGCACCTGGCAGTGGGTCACAACAGCATTCACTTGCTCACTTGCTTGCTCATTCTCATATTCATTCATCCATCCATCCATCCATCCATCCATCCATCCATCCATCCATCCATCCATTGATCAAACACTCAACAGTGCCTCAGTGGGTTAGGTCTGGGTAAAATCTGTGGGATACACACAGCCTCTTGAGCCTGAGGCCTTGGTTCCCCGGGGTCAAGCTGGGGCTTAAAAGGACAGGGCCCAGATAGGAAAGACCTCTGTAGCAGTGGATCAAGACCTGAACTAGACTGTGGGCCAGACAGACTCCTGCAGCTCTAAGAGAAGGTACCAAGTCTGAGGAGTGGGAGCCAGGCCCCTCTCCCTTCGCCTTGGGGTTGGGGGCCAGGGGGTTGAAGGCTAGGGTGCATGGGCCTATGGATTAAAAGACCACCAGATCGCTTCTAGGTTAGTTGGCTAAGGAATCTCTCTGAGCCTCTGGGGTCAGCTGGGGGGATTAGGCCTGAGAGATGGAGTCCCTGAAGTTAAAAAGGAACTTCCTTCTCTCTTCCTTCCTCCTTTCCCCTAACTCCTCCCTGAAAACAGAAGTACAGGGTTCTCCCTTTTCACACTAGGACTGAGGGGGACTGCATGAGGATGGGTGAAATGGGAGACAAAAGGCAAGGTAGGGGCGCCTTGTTGGGAATTAACAGTAATTCTGGGGAGGTGGGCTCTATTTCAAAAGGCTTGGCCCTGGCTTCCAGCGTTGCTGGCAGAAGACCTCAGGACTGGGGTGGGGGAGCAAGGATGGCTCACTGGATCCTCTCCTCAGCCACCCTTTAATCCTTCCCCGCTGGCCAGAGGCTTGGAGTGATTCCTCAGCTAACTTCCCTGCAAGCTGCCTAGTGGCCTGGTTTTTCCTCTCCTCCCAGATCACTGAGAGAGTCTGTGGGGACCGGAGAGGTTTCATCCCACGGGGTCCCCACTCTGGCAACTGGAAGTGCTCTTCACTCACTTCCCTGTCACCACACGGGACCCCAGTGGTGAGGGAACACAGCTGGGCACTCTTGGGCATGTGACATAGGGGTGTGCCCATGTGCTATGTGACTGGGAATTACCACAGACACACGCTAGCGTAGGAGGCCATGCTCTGTGGGCAGAGGCTATGGTTCAGGTGAAGGAGGCCAGAAGGCAGGTTCTCAGAGCCCAGCTCCCTGGAGTGAGACATGGAGAGATGCTAGGATAGAGCATGTCCTGGAGGGGTGGTTCTGAGTGGGAGGAGAGGAGCAGCTGGGCACCTCCAGGCTTGGCTAATGGTGGACTCAAACACTACCCTGCATTGTATTCCTGGGACAAAAAACAGGAATTGGGTTGGGGTGGGGTGGCTCCTGACCAGCCTAGTCCCAGATGGTCAGGCTCATGGACAGAGGTGCTGCAGCTCCCTGGGGTAGGCTTGGAATAGTCCCCTCACTCCCCTGCTCGTGTCAGGCCAGCTGCTGTCCCCCAGCTCAGGGGTATTAAACACAAAACAAAAAAAATTGCCCAGCTCACTCACGCCAAAGACAAAGAGAACGCTTGTTTGTCTTTTGGCTAATCTGAGGCCCTGCTCAGCCCGGCAGCTGGGCTCTGTGCATGTGCAGGCATGTATTGTGTGTGCTTGCATGTGCTCCTGTGTGTGGTGGCCAAGGCCAGGCCATGCACTCCGGGAACACAGATTCTTAAACCTCTGGTGGATGGCTGCATGTGGCCTGGAGGCTGGTTAAAAAAGTCTCCCTGTCCCAGTGGTGGAGAACCTGGGGAGGCTGAGTCCCGCCCATGGAGCGAGATCTGGGAAATCCCTGTAGCCAGAGCTCATGGGTCACTAAGGAGGCTTTGGGGCCTGCCAGGGACAGTGATCCAGGCCCTTTCTGCCTCCCCAGCTTTCTGGGGGTCCCTGAGAGCCCGGGATCCTAGAGTACAGGGAGATGGCAAGACAGGCCCTAGGATCATTTCCAAGGCTCTTAAATCCCTGGGCTCAGAGAGTACAAATGTCAGGCGTGATAAATTCTCGCCACCTTGTGGGGACATGTGGTACTCCTCCCAAAATCCTGGGCAACCAGCCTGGTGGGGAGGAGAAGACCTTGCTGGAGCATGCACCGGATTGGGCTGGGGCTGGCTGTCCCTCATCCTCCCATGGGGCAAAGGGCCAGGTGGGGAAATCCACCCAACACCCACCAAACAGAAGTCCCTCTCTCCCACCCCCCCAGGCTGGACCAGCACCACCCACAGAAGCAAACCTGATGTCCTCATGTTTGAAACAACTTGGAGAAGGGTTTGCAGGAAGGAATCTTAGAACTCATCTGATCTAAGGAAAGTAAAGCCCAGAAAGGGAGGGGGGCCCTGTCTGAGGCCCTATAGAATCTCCATCACAGAGGGAACTTAGACAGAGGGTTCTTGACTTCAAGGCTCACACATTTTCCAGCAGGTCCAGTGAGTCCAAAACAAGCTGTCTAGACTGAACCTTAGCCATACTGAGGCCCAGAATAGGGCAGCACAGTGGGAATTCTTGCCTCAGGTCAGCCAAGGGGAGGGCATCTGGGCCATGTAGAGATGAGGCTGCAAGTGGAGTTCCTGTGTGATCTGGATTTTGATATTAAAAGGCAATGATATTATCATCTATAATGCAAGCACTGTGTTTAACGTTACAAACACTAGATCATTTAATACCGTGACCCTTTGAGGGGGGCATGGTTATAGTCCACATTTTTCAGATAAGGAAACTGAGGCACAGAGAAGCAACCTGCCCTGTGGCAGAGCTGGGATCTGTGTAGAACAATTTTTACTCAGTAAGTGCAAAGGAGTCAGGAAGTGAAGAGCGAGCGAGTTGCTTGCTTCCTCCTAGGGAACCCAGCAGGGCATTGCCAGCTGCAGCCCAGGGCTAGCCTCCATCCACAGCTGCCAGTCCTCCAGGAGGCATGGCCTCGGTGTGCCCTCTGGTGTGCACAAGGAGCAACGAGAGTTCCCTCCTGCATCAGACGCAGGGCTGAGTCCTGGAGATGGCTGGCAGGGACCATGGTCTCTTCTCCTAAAATACCCTGGCAAGGGACTGGCTGGCCGTAGACCACCACCGCAGAGCTCCCAGCCCACCCAAATCTACCCATCCGCAGGATGGATTTGGTCACATTCTGGTTTCTCAGGGCTTCCCTCTCCTGGAGTCTTGCCCACCTCCCCCTAAGGCATATTGGTGGTAGACCCACCATACTCAGGACCAGGACCATGGGCCAGATGGACACTATATGCCCCTTGAGGAGCTGGGATCCATTCAGAGCACTGCCATGTGGGCAAGGGATAGACAAGGGACTCCCAGAGCCAGGGAGAAGACCCCTCCCTGAGGGCTGAGGAGACTAAGTCATGCCCTGAAGGCTGGATACTCTGAAAAAATCAAGGTGAGGAAAAGGTAGTGAAGACGAGGTGCAGTATAAGCGAGAGGAAATAAGGGAAATTAACCCCGAGTTTGGGTTAACTGCTTCAGGAACACCTCTGAGTCCAGCAAACCAGGGAGTTCGTCATGGCATTACTATATTCCAGGCATTAATAAAGGACAACCCACACTTTATTTGCATCTGCCTTTGACATGTACAAAAACTCTTAGGGGCCTCTTCTCCCCCATCTGGGGGGCAAAGGGTAGGTTCTGGAGGGAGAAAGCATTAGAATGATTTCAAAGCATTAGAATGAGGTCAAAAAGCTCAACTGAAGGTCCTGCTACCCTGAGTAAGGGGCATCCCTGTGCGTCAGAACTTGTGCTGTCCTTCCTCCCTGCCAAGCCATCTGTGCATCTACTGGGCCCTCCTATTTGACAAAGCTGAGCTCCCCTCTCCCCATGGGCAGGAGACCCAAACCCCTCTTTGGTGTTTTAGCTGCTTGTCTTCCTTTTCCCATCTTTAAAATTCTATTCCTGTAGAAGGAACACCAACATCGTAACTTTTCTCTCCCAAGCCTCCTCCTAACTCAGGTGCTCAACATAGATTCCTGAGCTGGGCACTCCAGTGACCTGAGGCCCTCACAGATGGCTGGGCCCGAGAGCAGGACAGTAAGTATCAGCGCTTATATGTGGAAAGCAGGGTTGGCGGTGCCACTGTGAAAGGATGTGGGAGGTGCAAAGCTCCTAGGTATGCCTGCGAGAGGGAAAAGAAAGCCCCAGAAAGCCAAGGATGTATGCTTATTTCTCGTAGAAGTCAAGATGGGCTCCAGACTTGAACATGTCTGTTTGCAGCAAGTTTAACAGTTTCTGGGCTGATGTCTTACAATCCAACAGCTCCCCCTTTGTCTTCAGATCCTGTAGCATTTTTCGCAAGTCTGGGTCATAGGAGGTTTCCCGGGCCACCTGCTGCATGTCTGTGTCCAGGGGCCCTACGGGATAAAGGGCAGAAGATGAGGGGGCACAGCTGCGGCAGCGGACCCTCCTGTGCGTGAAGTGGGGTGGAGTCAAGTCTGGCTAGGGGCAACACCTCATTTTGGCTGACATGTGTGGTCAGGGTCACCAAAGGGTCACTCTGCCCCTACTGAGCTCCAGACTCACTCAAATTCCAATACCCACTGAACATGGCCCCTCCAGACCGCCATGTAAACCAAACTTATCGTTTCCTGTCCAACCAGCACCTCCTCCTGAGGTGGTGTCAGTGAACTCTTTCAGGCACTTTCTATTTTTTTTTTGGCACTTTCTATTTTTAATAAAGGAACCACAGCACCCCAGAATGTTGAGTTAATGGGCGTCAGGGGCAGAAAATCAAGGAATCTCAGGGTTGGAAGGAAAACCAGCCTCCTGACCCTCGAATGTCTTTCAAGAACCTGTGCATCCCTGGTAAGTTGGGACTTGCTACCTTTTCGAACAGCCCATTCCTCCTTTGGACACCTGTTAGAACATTCTTTCGGAGACTGAAATGAAAGCTCAACCGGTCTCAGCCTTTGCTCAGGCCCCGGCAGCCTCACAAAAAGGTAAACTTCCTCATAATTCCCAGTCAGTACCCTGAGGTCTAACCCAGTCACATGGAGTTCTGGAGTTTGCTCCACTCCTGGCTGTGGTTTTCATTTGCTCACTGTTTATTGAATTCCTAGGCCGAGCTCAGAGTGGCTGCTGAGTTCAATGTTGGCTGGAAGAATAACTGCATATGTGTTAGGGAGGACTAGGTATTGGAGAGCATGAGGAAGTAGCAATGGCACTGATCATGACCTTGGAGGCAAAGTTTGATCCTGACTGTCACATCTGGGCTTTGGTCAGGTCATTCTACCTCTTTGCCCCCAGGGTAACAAGGCAAATAGACTAGTGGACCTCAGGATCTAAGTTGCTCAGATATTAAACAACAGCTATGTCACTGCCTTCTTATTCCAGCAACCTCAAGCCTAGAACAGAAGCTTCACTTTGAAGAGAGAGGCACAGTGGCATCATGGTAAGGTAGTGAGAAATCAGACCAAGAGTCACAAGACCCCTACACTTTAACTTTTATAAATCTTAATTTACCCGAGGTCCCCCACGCCCCCCGCCCCCCACTCCACCCCCTCAGTGTTCCAGCACAGTTTGGCCTGGGATGGTTAGCATTCAAGAATGTCTGTTTGCTGTTCATTCAAATAACATTTTCTGCAGACTGACTCAGTGGGGTGCTTCATTAGGTACTGGGGGACATACAGGCATAATCCCTGCCTTTAAGGCTTTCCTATCAAGAGAGAGAAGTATACATATGAAGATATACAGTATGGTTAAGTCCTATATAATAATTAGAAGTGCTAACAATTAGAAAGCACTTCACAGTTAGGGAGTACGTGCACATATATTACCTCATTCAGTCTTCCAAACTGCCCTGTGAGACAACTGGAATCTTCCCTGTTTTACATGAAGAAATGGGGTACAGGCCTGGAATTCAAAACCTAATATCTCTCAAACTCTGTCTCAGACTTTCTGGCTCCACCCTCCAGTCCAAGTGGTTCCCCACTCTCTCACTGTACCCTCTAACTGTGGTTCCCCACCCCCGCCAGCTCTAACTTCCTTGGACCTGTATTTCCTTTAAGGAGTTATGGGTCATGGTTCAGGGTCAGTATACTCTGTGGGCCCTTTCCTGGAGGGGAAAGGCTAGGCTCCTTGCCCAGCTTCCAGAGGGGAACCAGCTGGTTCCGGGGGACAGGAATGGCAGTAATGCCCCACCTACCTGGGGCATAGCTCAGCACCCTCACGCTAGGTTCCTCTGAGGCCAGGACCTGGTACATCATGTCACGGGCAGCCTTGCCTGCACAGTACAGTGTCCAGCCCTTGAAGGGTTTCACAGCACAGAGGGACGAGATGTTAACCACCGTCCTGCTGAGGCCAGGGCTCTCTGGGAAGGCCTTCAGGATGGTGGAAGTCAGGCAGAGCATCGAGGTCAAGTTCAGATACCAGTAGCTGTTCACTTCAGCTGGGTCAGCCAGGTCCACGAAGCCTCTGGACACATCCCCAAGAGTGCCTGAAAAACCAGACCTTCAGAATCACCCAGTGCCAGCGGGGATTCTTCTTTCAGCCCTCTCCAAACTCCTCCAGACACACCTTTCCCATCCAGACCAAGAGGGGTCTCCCTAGGGCTTCTGAAGATGCCTCTCTCTTCCCAGCTCTGCAGACACACACACCGGGGGCACCAACTGACCCCGCGTTGCAGACTGAGAGAGCCCTGCTCTGGGACTGGGGGAGAACTCTGAGGGCCATTTGGCGAATTGGGGAAATTCACTTGCGCTGGGAGATCCTATGCCCTGACTCAGGCCTCCGCCAGAGGGCGCTGAGCAAGGCGATCGGGAAAATTCCGCAGGCGTTCTGGAAAACCTAGCCTTTAAAAGGGGAGAGCGAAGCGGGGAGTGTGTGGAATGGGCCGCCTCGATGGCATTGGGTCTTCCTCCACCCTCAGCTGAAACGACTAGGACTTTCAGGCATCTTTTCTGACTCTTAAGCTGTCACCTTTAAAGTTCCAAGCGGTGGGGGCAATGAGAGGGAGGGAGAACGGAAAGGGATGGTGAGTATTCCAAGCGTTCACAAGGAGAGTCCGTCCCCCGCTGACGGGCGTCTTACCTGCGTTGTTGATTAGCAGCACTCGCTGCAGCCCCTCTGGCCTGGGGAGCTCGCGCAGGGCGCCGAGAAGCCTCTGCAAGCCGTCCTGGGCACCCAGGTCGCCGGGAACCCGCACCACAAGCAGGCCGGGCCGCTCAGCGCCCAGCTGGGCCTCCAGCTGTCGCAGTGCCTCGTCGTTGCGGGCGTTTAGGACCAGCACGGAGCCGGGCGACAGCAGCGGGGCCAGGAGCAGGGCCAGCGTGCGGCCGAAGCCCCGGGAAGCCCCGGTCAGCACGCACACGGTGCGCCCCAGAGAGCCCTCCTGACCGCTGCCGACCTCCATGCGTCAGACCACACACAGTCTGCTCCCGCGGGAACCACAGACCCGACTAGAAGCTGGGCGCTCGGGGTAGGCGGGGCCGCGCTAGGAGCAGGCGGACGCCCCTCCCGGCGGGAGCGGAAACCTAGGGCTTCGGGCCGCCCTAGTCCCACCACTTGTTTCCTTGGCTACGGGTGGCAGAAATGGAAACTCCTGCTCGGTAGGAGTCAACAAAAAGGACAGGGAGGTGCGACCCCCAAGGGAACTCCTAGCCCAGTTCTGAGCCGGGACCTGACACACGTTGAGTGTCCCCATGGGGACTCCTCCCAAGTCCAGACCCAACTTCCTAGCACAAGTGATTTTCTCCTGGTCAGGACATCCCTGTATCGGCCGGCAAAAAGCCCCGAGTGAAGCCCATGCCAGTTTAGGGCTTCGAGTCCCTACTGGGCTTCGGGAACTCACCTCCCTGTGGGTTACAAGAGCCACCTCCCGTAAAACCACCGTTGCTCCTCCAAGTGATGTAAAAACCTCTTGTCGCTTACCAGGCTTTGAGCAACTTGGTGCTGGCGTGGATTCCCCTGCCTTTCTCATATTTCTGATCCCTTCTTTCCCTAAAGGTGTGTGTACCCCGGGATTCTGCACCCACTCATGCTACACTCTTCCTAATAGGCAATTCCATCTACTCCCAGCTTCAGGTTTACCGAGATGATCACCTAAGTCCCGTCCAAGCCTGTGCTTCAGAAAACCCAGTTTTCTGTCTTTTTTAAGGAGAGAAGGAAGATGGGAAAGTTGGCTACAAATCTCGTTGAAAGGAGTCTTCTTCAGAGTTTAGCAAGGGCGGTAAGTAACCTCAGATAACAGCCTAAGTCCTCACAGGGTTGTTTTTCCCTCTGAAGACAAACGTCAATGTTGCCTTTCATATTTCCCCGGAAAAATGCGTTGTCCTTGTACTGTGGACTATCATTACCAACACCAAATCAATCCAACACCAAAACAATCTGAGGGGGGTGTGGGGAGCTTTTCACTTGTCGACATAGGTGCCTTTACCACAGACTTTTTGTAAGATGTACAGTTCAGATTGTACATCTCCGTGGATCATATTCCAAGAAAAAATGAAACGGCAAAGAAATCTTAAACTGCATTTAGTACTTTTATTGTTAATATGTATAGTATTATTTTGAAACTATTTTATGTAAAGTGGAACCAAGAAAACAAGTAATTATGCTAAAGTTGTTAGAGAAAAGAGACCAAGTATGAATTAAAGGAAATTAAGGGGAAAGTCAATAAAATTGAATTTGAATTGGAAGATAGAAAATTGTAGAACTTATTGCAATTACTTTTACTTTTCTATGATCACACCAAAAACACGTTTTTCTCTTCTGGATGTATTGGTTCTCCAATATCTATGACTAACCTTTTTAGGAGTTCTGCCTGCAAAAATGGCAGAGATGAAAGTGGTGCCCAGATAAAGTCTACAGTTGTGTTTTGTTTGGCCCAAACAGGGCTTTTTTTTTTCTTTTTAAACTTGAGCTGACATTTCTAAAGTGAGAGATTTTACATAATATCAGAATTCCCACCTTCTTTTGAATGACGAGTGGGTCTGGCAAACGGGGTGCTGGGTGAGGTGAGCAGCAGCGCCTGTCGGGAAGGAGACAGTGTGCTCAAGTTTGCCAAAGTCCTCACCACTCACAGATGTAGGCACTTGGGTTTCTTACTCCTGATGCAAAGTTGAATTCTTACCCACTGGTGAGAGTCCAAACACTTAACAGCCCCAGAATTGTGCTGAATTGTGGAGAGGTGGGCCTGGGGAGGGGTCAGGAGGTATTGGATATTTTAACACAGGTAGGACTCTGTGTGTGTGTATACCAAATGAAGCTGCCCTTCTTTTCACTTATCTGGTAACAATGGATGGTCAAGATCTTAAATCTGGTTGCGCCAAAGCTAAACTCTCCTGTACTGACCCAACATTTTACTCTTGAAATAATTTTCAGTAGCTTCTCCCTGTTCTGCAGCCCTCAGAAAACAGGTTGGTTGGTGAAAGTACAATCCCATCCATTCATTTGTCTTTTATTGAATTTCTACCATGGTCCAGGCTTTGAAGAAAGGAGGAAACGATGAAGGGATGATGAAAAATCAGACCTAGCTTCTCCTAAACCTAGCTACTTCTAGGAGGAACCTTTGAAAACAGCCCCCTAGGAGAGTGTGGTTTGCCTGGACTGGGAGAGAGCCTGGAAAATCCTTTTCTGAGGAAGATGATTATCTGCCCCATACCTCACCCCACTGCCAGCCTTATTTCAAGTAATATTTCAGGAATGTGCGATAATACCTCAGGGCCAACACCGTCCATAGAATTCCTTTAACAATGGCACAATGATTCCCGAATTTGTCTGCACATTAGAGTCACTGGGGAGCCTCAGGAACACTGATCCCTGTGTCCTGCAGCCATGGACTTTGGAATATTTTTTATTCAATTTATTTAAACTAAAAGAAAAGAAAAAAAATAGTTCACCCATTTCTCCCACCTGCCTCTTGCAACCACCAATCTGTTCTCTGTGTCTATGAGCTTGTGTTCTTTTTTGGGGGTGGTGGGGGCAGATTCAGATTCCACATATGAGAGAGATAATGCAGTACTTGTCTTTCTCTGAATTGTTTCACTTATAATACCCTTGAGGTCTATCCATGTTGTTGCAAATGGCAGGAAATGGCAAGATTTCATTATTTTCTATGGCTGAGTTATACATCTTGTACATATGTATCGCTTCTTCATCCAATCGTCTATTGATGGACACTTAGGTTGCTTCCATATCGTGTCTATTTTGTTTATTTATTTATTTATTTATTTATTTAAAAGATTTTTTTTATCGGGGGAATTGGGAACAGATAAGTTGCTATCCTTTTGTTCTTCAGTCTAGTTGTGGAGGACGTCTCTTCACTAGCCCATGTTGGTAATTGTGATCATTGCGCTCTTCCTGGGTGAGGCAGTCATTCGCTGGCCATTGGATGGCCACTCACGGCATCTCACGGCATCTCACACCGGCTGCCGGCCACTCACGGTTGCTCATGGCAGCCAACTGTAGCCCCATTGCAGCTTATGCCATCGCTGGCCACTCATGGCAGCCCAGCTCCAGGTCGAGCTGTTGTTCACCATCTTAGCTGTAGAGGGCGCAGCATCACTGGCCCATGTGGGATCTGTACCGGTGGCCCTGCTGCTCAGAGCTCATGTTCCCAAGCCAACTCTTAACCAACAAGCCACTTGGCTGGCCCTCGTGTCTATTTTAAATAATGCTGCAGTGAACGTGGGGGTGCATATATCTTTTCAAATTAGTGTTTTTGTTTTCTTCAGATAAATACCTAGAAGTGGAATTGCTGGATCACATGGTAGTTCTAGTTTTAATTTTTGTGGAACCTCCATATTGTTTCCCATAGTGGTTGCATAAAGTTACATTCCCACCAACAGTGCAAAAGGGTTTTCTCCACATCCTTGCCAACACTTGTTACTTCTTGTCTTTTTTTTTTTTTAAGATTTTATTGGGGAATTGGGGAAGGGAGCAGTGTTGGGGAATTGGAGAACGGGAACATTGTGTTTTTCCAGGACCTGTCAGCTCCAAGTCAAGATGTTGTCCTTCAATCTTAGTTGTGGAGGGCACAGCTCAGCTCCAAGTCCAGTTGCCATGTTCAATCTTAGTTGTGGGGCGGGAGGTGGGGGGTAGGGCACAGCCCACCATCTCATGCGGGAGTCGAACCAGCAACTTTGTTGTTAAAAGTATATGGCAGGCTGCCCGAACAGTGACCCTGTTGCTTGGAGTTTGAGCTCTAAACAACTGCGCTACCTGGCTGGCCTTCTTGTCTTTTTTACAATAGCCATTCTATTGGGTTGTCAGAAAAGTCATGACACATGTTTGCGACAGATGACACTAGTTCAGTTTTGGAAGTACTAGAGTCATTCGCATCTAATGTTATTGCTATGGCATTTGACAGCTGACAGTTCTAGCTTCATTCTAAAAACAATTGAGCGATTTGGTTGAGTTTTGGAGATTTCACAACAAGTTGAAGATGGAAGACCAAACTGTGCATTTTTGCCATATTTTACTGTTTTACTTCCATAAAGGGAAGAACACGTGTCAAGTTTTGAAAAGTTGCATAAAGTTTACAGTGACAATGATCTACAAGAACGTCAGTGTCAACGATGGTTCATGAAATTCCGTGCTGGTGATTTTGATCTCAACAACGCTCCTCGATCAGGGAGGCCCACCGAGGTTGATGATGACAAAATAAAGGCATTGTCCAAGTCAAACCACGTTACACGACACGAGAGATTGCAGAAACATTGAACATCTGTCATTCAAGCATTCACGACCACCTGAAGAAGCTGGGATACGTAAGCAAGGTCAATATTTGGGCTCCGCATGAACTCAAAGAAGTTTATTTGACAGCACATATAAACATCTGCAATATGCTCATTAAACATGAGGAAAATGATCCTTTTTTGAAGCAACTGATAACTGGTGATGAGAAGTGGATTGTTTACAACAATGTGGTGTGTAAACGGTCTTGGTCCCTATGTGATGATTTGCCTCAAACGACATGGAAAGCAGACATTCATCAGAGGAAGGTTATGCTCTCAGTGTGGTGGGATTTTAAAGGTGTCGTGTTTTTCAAGCTCCTACCAAGGAACCAAACAATCAATTCAAATGTGTACTGTTGGCAATTGGACAGTTTGAATGAATCCATCATCCAGAAAGGTCCAGAGCTTGTTAATTGTAAAGGAGTTGTGTTCCATCGCAACAATGTGAGACCACATACAAGTTTGATCACCCGTCAAAAATTATTGGAGCTTAGATGGGATGTGTTGTCACACCCACCATACTTGCCTGACCTTGCGCCTTCAGATGTCCACTTGTTTCACTCTCTTTAAAACTCCTTTCATGGTATAATGTTTAATTCAGATGAAGCTGTAAATCAGCACCTTGTTCAGTTTTTCACAAATAAAGACAGGTCCTTTTATGAATGAGGAATTATGAAGCTCACTGAAAGATGGCAAAAGGTTATCGAACAATACAGGCAATATATCATTGATTGATCTTTGTTCT